GGGTGGGACCTCAGTTCTAGGTCACGAGGTTAGCCTTTGCTGTGGAGTGGGACCTCGTCTAAGAAGACAAAGTAGCAGGGCCAGTGCGACGGCTCAGTGGGAAAGAATGCTTGCAACGGAGCTCGATGACCCAAGGGCAGTGACTGGAACCCACACGGTGGGATGAAGAGGAATGACTCTTTCAAGTTGTCTTCCATGACTTCACAGTGGCAAGTGTGTACACACGAACACACCCCTCCCCACACACATGTACACGTGTGCACAGATGGCGGACACATATAAAAATTAAAACTAAATGTGTCCATCTTTAAAATCACAAGCCTAAGTACATCCTGAGTAATGGTGGCTTGTCAGATAAGAAACACTACCAGGCTCTGACTTCTTTTGAGTTCATGAGCGCCTTCTTAGTGTTTACCTAGCATCCGTTAGATATTTGTAAACCGAAACTTATAAATGACCATTATAAGTTACCAGTTAGTACTTCCAATGTTTTTGAAGATAATATAAAGAAGTTAGTGTTGTTTGGTTTTCTATTCATTTAGTAACAATTCAATTACATTATTATAGAATTTCAGAAATTTGCTGTTGCAGGAAACTAATGGACACTCACAGTAGAAGGGAGGGAGTGAGGCGGTGGATGCCTTCCTTAAGCATTGCTGAGTGTACGCTTACGGGTCCATCCTTAACTCCCATTTCCACTAGTCAGTAATTATCCTGTGATGATAGCTTTGTTTGTACAAACATTGGAAGTTTGCCTTTTCTTACAGTAAAAATTGTTATTTTCATATCCTGAGGTAATATTAATATTTTGCTTTTTATTCTGTTTTTCTTTGAAAATGTTTTGAACATTTTTTAAATCTTTGATAATATCACTAAATATTTTTCCTTAACATTTTACCAGTATAGGCTTCTGGCAACAAATCTGGTATGATTTGTTGCCATATTATGATCACCTGGCCAGTATTATTTTATCATTTTAAAAGGTGAAAATACCTTGTTTTTATTTTTTGTAATTATTTTAATCACCCCTGGATTGAACTTCAGGTGTTGATTGGCATTTTATATATCTTCTTTACTTAAGTTGCCTTTGCTTTCAAGTGTTCCTAAGCACTTCCGACTCTCTTGGGACTCTTGGTGACCCTGCTCTTTGTAATGAGTTGCTGAAGATCTTAGTGGAACAGCCAGAGAGACTAAGACCACCTCCTCCTCACTTTTGAGTGTTAACTTCCATTCCTATTGGACTAGATAGAGATAAGGTCCTCTCTTAGTTGTAAGGCATTTCTTAATTTATCTAAGTTTTCTGGAACAGGGAAATCATAAATATTATCAGCCATTGCCATCTGCTGAATAGGACACTGGTGGCATGTATGAAAAAGCTATCGCTTTTTTTGAAGAATAAATGTGAACAAATTATACCTGAATATAATAGTTAAATTCTTTTATTAGTAATTTGCTTCTATAAGTTGTTCATAGTTAAGATTTCTAAATACTATGTACTTTATAGTTTATAAAATCCATTATGTACATTACATATTTTAATTCAGTAATAACTCTAGAAGACGAATGAGAGTGCTAGTTTTGACTTAAAGAAATAATTCTATATAAAATATCTAAAATGAACACCCTGGGAATTATAGCTAATAATGGTTCAGCCAGTGCTTAAACTCCAGCTCTGTGCGCGCAGAGTCTGCGCTTTCTGTCCTATTGTTTGTTGACGTACCCGCTAACTGAAACAGGAAGCAAATATCTTTAACCTACTTTGCAGTACTTGAAACCATGACCAGTTACAAAGTTCATTAAATTACAATGTTTTTGTTTATAAACATTAGTAATTATTCTATTCATGAGCTTTATTGCATGATGTGATACCATGTGGTACCTTGAAAACAAGGAAGCGAACAAATGAACCAGATATACCAGAAAATCAAAGCTGTCAGTGATTTTCTGTTCTGTCTATGGATGTGAGTCAGAATTAACAATCTAATAAAATGTGGGTATCTATTTATTTAACATGTTTATTGAACACTGACTCTGTACTGTGCATTGTGCTAGATGACTGGACAGAATATAAGGCACAATTTAATGGAGTTGGAAATAAGTCTTTCACTTTCTATTTGGTAACTACATGGATTTTCCACAAAGAATACTTTACAGGGAGGTTAAAGGAGACCACACAATGGAGGGCGTAATCTAAAGCAGACATCTTCCTTTGACCCACTAAAAATTAGCGGGACAAGTGAAAGGTAGTGATGGGGGTAGAGTAGCAAGTACCGTTTAGGGATACTGAGGAAGTAGGAGAAAATGGAGCAGTAGGGTCAACAGTATGTGTGTTGTATGGAGACAGTATAAAATACATCTCTGAGCAAGGCAGTTGATGCATTTTTTATTAATTCAAGGGTTTATCTTAAAAATTCATTTCAATACTATCTCTGGTGCTTAGCTCATTGTTGAAACTCTTATTGTGATCTACCTTAAGATCCAATTTTGAGACACAGAAGAAACATATTTAGACAATAAAACCTGTTTTGTTCTATATCCACATAAATTATCACACTTATTTCAAAAGGGCTTTGATCATAAAAATTCAACCTATCCACAAGAATAGTGATTTAGATAGTTTATCACATATTGTTAACCATGAAATTAAGTCAAAAGTAAGAATCTTAAAAAATATATGCCTCCATTTTTTAAAAATTGACCATTTTAAGATGAAAATTATCAAGTTAGGAGCAGAGGCCTAAAAACGCACAGCATACAGGGTTTCTTCCGACTGAGGTAAACGGAAGAAACATAACCTAAAATTTCTGTGCATTAAAATTTAGGAGATGCTTTTGTTTTGACTGAGATACCCTGGTTAGGGCACTGGGTAATAGTTTTTCTGCTCCTCAGTAGAGAATGGCTTTTATGGTAGGTTTTGTATATGTGCCAACGACTGTACAGATATATAGGAAATAGGAGGGCGCACGTGAAATGGACAAAGTGAATGCTCCAAATACTCCTTAGTGAAGACTCACGTTCCAAATACTCCTTTATAAACTATGTAGTCATTAAGGCCCTAGTTTCTGTTCTCCATAAAATGGTAGCAAAACTAACACATGCAATGTTTCCTGGATAATAAAAATATCTAAAGTCCCTTAAAAACTGAAAAGGTACTTTAGGAATGGACATGTGTGTGTTTGACAAATAGCTTAATGGTCACCTATAAAATATGAAATAATGACATCAAAATAAGGACACTCTTAGTTTAGGTCAAGCCTCTGACTGAACATCTTAGATCAATGGCCCTCTATGTAGAACCACCTATTTTCAACGGAGATAGCGCTAGTCTCAGAGGATGGATGCTGGCGTGAGGTTGTGCTGAGACCATGGCTGGAACCTTCAGGAAACAGCCTCAGAGAGAAATGCCAGGGCTACCATTACTGAAATAGATCGAGACTAGTTGGTAAATATTTCTCATCATGGTTACATTTTTCTAAATTCATGGGTAAGATTTTATGTAATATGTGCCATTTAGCTGGATTTTAATTGAGATGGTAAAAATATTTTTCTATAATTACATAACTCATTATAAAGTCACTGTGTAGGGAGGGCTCTTAGAAAGAAACCAGAATGAACACTATTCACTTAAAAAATAATTTAAGACTTGTTAGAGAAGAAATTAATATGACCAAGAGCACGTTTTCCAAATGTGCTGTTCTGAAGACGCGCAGCGCCGAGCTGTAGGTGTAGAGCCTGCTGTCTGTCACAGTCATGTTCCTTCGTGGTACGGAGCGCTTATTTTAGCGTTCCAGCCCCATGCAGTGCTTGGAGAGACACATTCTGTGGCTGAAGTCATTCATTTTTCAGAAAAGAGAAAGCCTGGAAAAATGCATAATCTCTCCTCTTTCCCTGTAGCAACGTTAAGAAGATACCTTGTCCCATTTTTATTACTTCTGAGATTTTATTGCTGGCAGCCAGATGTGCAGAAATTCCTGACGACAGCATATATTCATTGCGTGTTTTTAATAGGCTTAGAGAAATATGAGTAGAGCCCATGAGCGCAGCTCAGCCTCACACTTCAGCCGGGGATGCCCAAAAAGCTTGCTGCTGTTTAGAATTCTTGCTACAGTCAGGAGAACGCCGAAAGCTGCACGAGCTCGGAACCTTACGGCTGACTTGGAAGAATAATGACTGTACAATTAGCTACCAACCTCTGCTCATTTAAGCACAGCTTTCACAGAGCTCAGGAGAAATATGGAACTTGATTGGCATGTTTTTGTTTGATGGTGTCTGCGAATAGATGACTTTTAAAGACAGGTGGTAAGGAAAATAAGGAGGATAAAAAGAAAGAAAATGCAATTTGAGACATTGCGCCAGGTCTGCAATTCTGTTTTATCTCATTTCCATGGGGTTTTTTCATCCCCACCAAATATTTTACAGAATGAGCTTTTTGGACAAACGCTGAACGATGCAAGGTGAGTAAAGCTAAACTATATTTTTCTAATATTATTTTCAGAGTGCTAATCTTGTATGGCTATGACATTGTTTGCCTTGAGGTATGGGTACTGTTTTTTAATCAAATATAGCATTTTACACAGCATTTTTAATTTGATCTTAAGAAGGAAAATCTCTTATTTTTAGGGCATATTGAGCATATTAAATGTAAGGAGACTGACCTCTGAGACATAGTACAGATCAGGTTCTTTCACTGTCTCTTTTCTAATAACTAAAATGATTAATTTAAAATGCCTGGTAGGTGTTTTTCCTGCAATCATGGAAGTGATTGCATTGCACATGTAAACATGGGACTGTATAATCATGTGTGATTTGTTGGAAAATATGAATAAGCAATCATGCATGCTCTTGTAAAGCACGCAGAAGATGATTTCTGGGCTAAGACGTTTCTCAGTGCAGGGTAGATCGATAACCACTCTTAAATAAGCTGTATTGTGGAGCTGCAGGCAGTGCTTTGTATTCGGTCGGCGACTTTGGACTCTGTGATATAAATTTCTATTGCTCTCTCTACTGATCTCTTTTGTGGGGAAGGTTGTTCAGTTATGAACATGTGTTCTAGATGGTTTGTCTGGCTCACACTAGCGGAGGCATTTTACTGAAGAAGCTTTAGAAATGCAGTTTTATCACTAGGTTCTTTCCTCGTTTAAGTTGTTCAGTTTTTGAGACTCTCTCCTGTTTTATACCAAGAATAATAGTCACGAAAACATACCCCATGCAAGGAAAATATGTGTGGGGAAGGATTGAGACAGATATTCTGATAACACAATAATGCCCTGAAATTTTCTAGAAATGGACAGGAGGCTAATAGTGTTTAGCATATCAAATGGTTTTATTGGTCTGCTTCTTTTAGGATCTCTGAATACTGTGAGGCAGCCTATTTTAGAGATTAAAAAAGCTCATTATACAATATGTATCTTAATATAGCAAGTGAAAAGGAGGCCCGTGAAATCTATTGTCACTTAAGAATTTTCTTGGTGGCAAATATACTTGACCTTTTTTTAATATATAGTGTTTTTTTTTTTCCTTAGTGAATTAAGTAGTTTTTCATTTCTTGCTTTCAGATTAATCTAAGGAGTGCTGGTGTAGGAAATGCTGGGGTAATCTACAATAGGCTCTTTATTTTAAGACATTGTTTCCTTATTCAGCAACATATCACATTCCTGTCTTTAATTTATTATAAAATTATATACATATATTGTGTTATTTTAAAATAAAAGTAATACGTGGCTTTCTAAAAATTTCCACGATCAAGCCACCATAAGAATGATTGTTCATCTTTTTATAAGTCTCTCTCTCTCTCTCTCTCTCTCTCTCTCTCTCTCTGATATGGAGAGTTTCCGTGTGCCTCTGGACAGCTCCCCGTAGAAGCTGTGCTGTGGCAGCATGGGGAGGCACAGGTTTGAAGTTAGAGTTGGCAACGTACCCTATGACTCTGTCTTTACCCTGATCTTCTTTTGTTTTGTTGTTGACATGTTTATGGTTTCAGTGTTTTTATTAAATTCTGGCATTTTATTTTGGTATAATTATACAAGAAGTTGTGAAATTTCTAGTGCTTCCATAAATCAATAGTGTTTAGTTTTCTCAGAAATACTAGTAAATAAGGATTTTTTTTCTGTTTTAGAGAATAAATCATGCCTTTATATGTTCTTAATGTCCTATTTTTTTAAAAGATAGCATTAATTTACAAATTGCTCTTTAGAAACAATCTTCAGAAATAATCAACTACTTCATTTATTTTTATGATCAAGCAAGACCATTTGTACACATAGTTATTTTGGAAGTAGGGAGAGTATAAAATAAATATTTGAATTCCCAATTTATGTTACCACATTTAAAATTTTTGGTTATACTTTGTGTTTAGATTAGGTAAATGGATTGATTCTGTTTTTCATTCCACTTAAATTCTCTTACAAAGGAATGCCAGTGGCAGGACAAAATCATTACAGTTAATGTCAAGGCAAAACCAAAACCCATATATTTTTAAAGTTTCCTACTTCAAAGAAGAAGGAACGGCCGGAGGAGCTGAGCTGTGGTCAGAAGGTGCACAGGGGGTAGAGCCTTTGCGCTGGTCTGCAGCCAGGGGCTCCGAGTCCTTCAGTTACATAATCCACTCCAGTTCTGGTTGCTATGTGAGCGGTAGACATTTCTTGTTTAGATTAGTTGGATAGAAGATTCAATATTGGTGCTGAGATAGTAGTTATAATATTTGAAGTGAAAGGAAAATAACATTGTAGCTTTGATGAAGTAATTTTTTTCTGAATTACCGTTTAAGAGAAATTACTAGAGTACTGTGCATCACTTGTGGGAAAAGCCATTATGAAAAGGATACCCTATCAAGCAGTTTTGAAATGAAAATTTTTCTTAGGCAATCAATCATATTTTTAAGTAACTCAACTTTTATCAGCTTTTAGGTGGCAGTGAAGTTGATTTCTATGACATTAGCAATAAAAGGTTAAAACTGAAAATCTTTTTAATGTGCTCTAAAAGCATTTCTAAGTTCAACTTGTCAAAGAAGGAAAGATTTTATGTATGCAGTAATATGCAAATCATAAATCACTGAATTGGAGATTAATATGGATTGCTAAACGATTAGCTATGGATAGTAGATATTTATTAGTGAACATGAACAGATTATTTAGGCTAGTGTTTGTTTGGGAACCATATAGTATAACTATCATGTTTCAGGCTGAAAGTTCTTAGCTTCTTATCTTTTTGGTCCTTCAGTACTTAGAGCATGAAGGAGGTGGAAGAGAGGCTCTGTTCTTCTGTGCTTAGATGAAGCAGCTCATGATCCAGCCATGCAAATAGAAAGTTCCTGGGTTCCAACAAAACCATCAGATAGGTTTTGGTGAAACTCTGGTCACCTAGTCTTCTCATTGTAAGCGTAAGCTCATTTTCCCTCAACTGTTTAGCCAGGGCATACAGATAATTTCCCATATCACCAGTAACAAGTCCTCAAGTGCTGAATTCATCATGAATTCTAATTTTTTAATTTTGGTGATCCTGGCTTTGGAATTAAGGTTAAATGTGTTTGGACTCCAGAAGTCTGTCTGTGGCAGAGCAGTGCACGAAGTTATCAGTTGCTATGGGCAGCACTCAGATTAACATAACAGCAATGACTTGCTTTGTGATAAATTTTACGTAAGAGTATACTTTATCCTCTACATTTTCTCCTTGTTGGTCTTGAACATTGCCATACAGTGAAGAAATTTGTCCTTTCTTTAGATGCAATTATTGTTTTGGTCATTAAATGTGTGACAGTCAGGTTTCTGTTCCATCTGACCACATAGGGGCACAATAAGACTGGAATTTATTTAGAAAATATACTATAAATATTTTTCTCTTCCTTGCACCTATGTACAATGTTCTATGCAGAATTTCATAAAAATTTCATTTTTAAGCTAAGGTAAAATCATAGTAGAGTAAGGACTATTGTTTTGTTGGCCTTTCTAATGGCAAGCACAGGAACTTCATGATGTATTCGAACTGAAGCAGACCCGACTTCTGCCTATTGCCCTTGGTTATTGTCAGTGCTGCTCTTCTCCTACAAAAGTATTTGGCAGTAAATGATAGACCGCTACTTACCAAAATGAATTATAAAGCATAACTTACCTAATGTAACTACATTATTTCTATTGTAGCATTACAACAATTCTAATCATCAATATTTTTGCACGATTTTGCAAAATAAATGTTTATTTAGGCTGGTAGTTCTTACGGTCAGAAGTACTTAATCCTTTACAGACCATTTGCTATTGCTTTGGTTTATTATGAAACCACTAATTTGTGTTCATAAATTTTGGCACAGGCGCTGTTATTCATGCCTGCACATTAATGATTACTCTGCCATTGAGAGAGCAGCATGCTTTTTTTCCAGAGTTTGGAGGATGCAATCTGCACAGTCTGTGCATTGCTGTGCTTGGCATAATCATATCACAATAATTTTTCATTTTAGGAAGTGTATTTCCTGGACTGTCTATATTCAGAGGCATAAAGAATTGAATTCATCACGAAATTTAATTGTTAATTTTTGCGATCCTGGCTTTGGAAGCAAAAGGAAATATGTTTGGATTCTAGAAACTATCTATCATAACATGTACTGCATTGAGTTATCAGTGAACACAATTTATGTACATATTTAAGCTTTATTAAGTATATATGTGATCATTATTTTGTCATGGAAGCTTATATTTACAATTGTTTGTCTTTGATTTATGAGAAAAATTACTTGAGTCAGATATGTATATAATTGATATTCTTACTAGAATATTTATTATGGTCCTTGATTGTATATCATAATTAACATAGATGCTTAATAATTATATTGGTTGCATTTAAGTGATTTCTTCAATGACATAACTTATAAAAAGCAACTTTTTTGCTGATAACTGATAGGTTAATGTAAATTATAATTTTCCTTAGCAACTTTTATATGATGATAAATAATCTTTAAAAAGTTAAACTAAATATTACTAAATTTACAAATGTTGATGTTGTTTGTTGCGTGATAAAATTCACTCTTTTTTGTGTGTTGTTGGTGTAGGAGGTCCTTCTGTATATGTATTGCTTTTATTGGTTAATGAAGAAACTGCCTTGGCCTGTTGATAGAGCAGAGTATAACTAGGTGGAGAAAACTATATGAATGTTGGCAGGAAGAAGGTGGAGTCAAGAGAATCCATGTAGCCTCTGCTAGGGACAGATGCAGCCTGGAACCTTGCCAGTAAGCCACAGCCACGTGGTGATAAACAGATTAGTGGAGATGGGTTAGTTTAGGATAGAAGAGTAAGCTAGAAATATGCTTAAGCTATTGGCCGAGCAGTATTGCAAATAATATGGTTTCTGTGTGATTATTTCATGGTCTGGACAGCCAGGAATGCTCCTACAACATGCTGTGGTCCTCTGCACTGACTCTATATACAGTTGTGAATTTGTCACAGAAGTTTATGTCCTCAAGAAAGAC